AGAAGTAAAACATGCAAAGAACTGTCACCATAGATGTGACCAATGCAGCCTATGTGACACCTTGAGAGACTGTGTGTGTAATGTGTGAGCAAGCAAATCCATACAGTTCTACCCATGAGGAAGCCACTTCCAGACCCTCAGCTCTGACTGTAACAGAAATCTTCAGCCTTCAAATCACAGGCAAACTCTCAACAACCGCAGAGGGAACAGCTACAACAAAACTAACAGATAAGCACAAGATTATTAAAATATTAAAATAAATCCCTACGATCCTCCTTCCTTAAAGCCATACAACCCAACCAGATGTTACTGGAACGAGGCAGCACAGGTATCAGGTCAGTGAGGACACGGAATTCAGGGATGACTGCACAGCACGATGAAATGGCAGCACCACCATGTGATGGCTCTAAGTAGGGAGGCAGAGTAAGATTTTTAATAAATAATTACACATGAACTTACTCTCTGTCAGCAGAATGTCTCCTGACATCCTTTTATGTTTCCCCACCTCCCCACTTATTTAAAAAGAAAGAATCCAGCTGCAGGCAACTGCTAATTAAATACTTGGGCTTTCAGCTAGTTGCTGTATGCACACATCTGCTCTGCCATAAACAGTTTTAAGTGTAATTGACTTATTTTCCATGCTCTAGGAGAGAATATTTATGACATGAAGAAAGAAAAAGTAAGCAGGGTCCAAGCCCCTGCTTCATATTCACCATGAAGTAAAAGCTGCAAAGCATTTAGAAGTTTAAAATGCCTTTTAGAACTTAAGGGTAGTTTTAATCTCACATTCCAAGGCTTCACTCCCAAAACAACATATTTACTGATTTTTTGGCCTTGAAATTATGTAAATCCAAACATATATTTCAGTGCCTAAACAAGTTTAAGTGGCTCATGTTGAGCATTTTGGCTTAAATGAATCATGAACAATATCATGTTCGGTTCCCCCTGATTTCACAATCTGGGTTTCAGACAACAGATTTGAACAGAGGTAGACAAGTCAAAGATCCATAATGGAGTCCTCCTGAAGTCAGACTCCATATGCCTGTACAAATCCTACTGAGAGATGTGACCTTAGACATGACATGAATGAAACCAGCCAAAAAACATGACTGAGCCATGACACTGAGAAAAAGGAGATCTCTGAGTCTGCACAGGGACATTAAACTTCTAATACGTCCGGTTTTGGCTGGAATAGAGTTAGTTTTCTTCCTAGTATCTGGTCCAGAGCTGGTTTGGATTTAGGATGACAATCATGCTGATAACACACTGATGTTTTAGTTGCAGCTAAGCAGTGCTTAAACTAAGTCAAGGACTTAGCTCCTCATGCTGCCAAGCCAGTGAGTGGGCTGGGGGTGCACGAGATGTTGGGAGGGGACACAGCCAGGACAGCTGACCCCAAGTGACCAAAAGGATGTCCCACATCCCAGAAAGTCATGCTGACCACCAAAACTGGGGGAACCTGGGAAGGGGGTGGCAGCCCCATTGCTCAAGGACGGGTTGAGCATCGGTCAGTGGGTGGTGAGCAGCTTCATTCTTATTTTTTATATTCTTTTACCTTTGTTACAATTTCCCCTCCTTTCTCTGTCCTATTTAACTGCCTTTTTCTCAAAGTCTTCCCTTTGTTGGTCAGAAGGCTACTACTGTCTCAAATCAGAAGCAGTTCTTCACAGTAAATACAGGAGGGGATATCACATCCTCCCTCCACTGAGACTGCAAACACAGGCAAAATACCAAGAAAAAAAGATATTAAAATTAGACAATAGTTTTGAACAGCATCCAGTAGACAGTACTCAAATCTCCTGTATGCAAGCCAACCCCACAGGATGCTATCAGCAATTATCTCTCATTTGGGATGAATTAAACAGATTTATCATATTACTTAAGAGTATCTGTCACTTAACTACCGTGGAGGATTTTAAAGAGTTCAAAGGGCCATTTTTAGAAGTAGTAAAAACAAACACTGTAGCATCAATCACAGCATATTAATCTTCAAGAACAACTGGAAGAGTTGAATATATCCATAGCTGGCTGTCAACCAGAAGCCCACTTTTGGTATAAAATCAACATAATTTTATTCTCTTCACACGTAGAACTACATTTCCTTACTTCACTATAAGGACATTGTGACTTCATTGTGACATCAAAGACATCTTGATTTTAACTCTTCTCTAGGAAAGAATTAGAGATTGAAGTGCACAGACACTCTCATCCCTGAAAAGGACAGTAAGCTGCTAGATACCAGACCTGGTAAATAGTCTTAAATAATTTAATAAATTACAAATAGAACTACTTTGAGGTTGCAATACAAGTTTTCAGGAATTAGGGCATGCAAGAAATGTGGGTACACCTGTAAGTTTACTTTGGTCCACACTGACACTTGTATCACTGCATGGTACGACAGAGTGAAAATGGACTAGCATGGAAAGTACTGCAGAGTTCACAGGCAAGTTGGCTGAATTTGAAGGATTACAAACCCTTAAGAGGCAACTCTAATTACTGCACACAGTGCTGCATCCTGTAGTATAAAAATTAAGACACGTGGACACAGCCTGGGAGAATTTTTCACTGTAAAGAGAGCTGCTGTAACACAGTAGGAAAATAAATACTCAGAATACACTGCCAGTTAAAAGTCAAAAATACAGTTTGCAATACTGGTCTAAGCTCATCACCAGCTTCTTATCTGGAAAAAGTAAATTCACAGCTCTTGTCTCCCAGAACCAGTGTTCTGCTTTAAATACAAAACATTAGCATGGTTTTTCTCCCCTCTGGGAGATAACCTGAGATTTGGCAGAAGATATAAATCTGCTTGGTTTTTCTAGTTTGTCAGCTATATTCAGGGAAATGTGACAGATCAGATGGCTGAAGAATCTTAAATCTTCCAGAACTGAGGTTTTATTTTTGGTCAGATTTAGGATCATCCTTACTTAGGAAAAAAAAAGAAATTACAAGAGAGACTACAATAGTGAAGTCCCTTAACATCATAATAATTCTTCTCATAAATACACTTCTAGAGATTAATCTCTAGTATTTATACCTGATTATAACCACTAGGAGATTACAGCTGTAATATTATCAGAATTCATTTAGTTTCAATTTACATTATATAATTACAAGAACACATAATTTAAAAAAAAAAATCCTTGTTAAAAATGCAGGAACAAATGGATATTCTTGACATTTTACAGTATTTTTTTTTAATGTATTGTTCAAAACAGTAGTGGTGGTGGGGTTCCCCCCCCACTACCACATAATGCAGAAATTTTTACTGAAAGTTGAAGCAAGGGAATTTACCAGAGTATTCTCAGCTTGGAGTAGGCAAACAGTAGGATAACAGATCTTAAGGGTACCTTTACCTGACTGAGAAAATTCATGTGATGTTAAGACCATCTCTGCTGTTGAAATGTTTTGTTAAGAATATCTTGTTTTAGGGATCAAACTGTCATTTTTCATTCATAGCCATGTGCATATGGGAGCCATTCACAGTGTCTATCTAACAGCTTACAGAAAATGACTGAAAGAAGCCACAGATTTGGCTGCTTCTTTAAACTTTCCTGTTATATGATTTTCTTCTTCTGTTTTAGTCATCATACATTAGTGTGACAACAGAAGTACTTATGATAGGTTCATTCACAAGTTTAAAATGTCAAGGCAGGAAAGCATTAAGTGAGAATAAATCATCAATATCAGACTGAAGTACTACCATAAGACCAGTTTTCTGGTCATATCAATTCATATGCTGCACTGAAAAGCTGAGAGGAACAGAAGTCCACCACTTGAATTTCTATTATTAAAAACAAAGTAGATTTGAACACAAGTAACACGTGTTCCCAAATGAAGCTAGTCCAGAATTAACATGTAATTTAAATTGGAAACCACTGATATAATTACTTAATGGACTACAGAAGTCAAGAAAAATATAGTGTGACCATTTGTCCAAATTCTGAAAAAAATCCACAGCAACTTGAGAAAATTATATGCAATGTAAGTATTAGAAAAGAACGGATCTGTTTCTGCTCTACTAAAGTGTTTTAGTAAACAGAGTAAGATCCACTATCAAACAATCAGCTGTGTGCTGTGCCCAAATGTTAGGAAGTTTTCCCAGACAAGAATTTCCAACCACTTTAGCAAAAGGCAGAGATGGTCTTTGATCCCAAAACAGCACTCCTCACTCAAAAATCCTAATATTCAGCTTTAGAAAACTGTAAAATTCAAGCCAACACATTCCAAAAGCACTGATTATTTTAGAAGCCTGTATCTGTGTGCACTGCAACTCCTGAAAAGCAAGACTTTCAGAGAGCTGACATTTCTCTACAAAGCAACTAAACACTCCAGCTGGGAGAGAGTGCAATCTGCAGATATTTGGAAAATCTATCGGAAAAAAAAAATGTTCTTGAGAAAGACAGGAAGAAACCCCTGTATGTTACATCCCAAAACAAAGCAGATGGAATTACTTAAAAGGGGAGAGGCCAATTATATCATTAACACTTGCCAAGAGTAACAATGATAAGATCATTTTCAGAACAAAGTGATCAATGCCCCCCAGCACTCTGTGCTAGTTCCATGTACTGGGTATTCCAGCAACAGTGAAATCCTCCAGGGACACACACAAAAACTGCAGCAGAGCTTTCCAGAGACATGACTGTCATTTGAAACAAAACACCACCAAGTAATTCCATAATTTGTAGAACACAGACAACTGACAGGTGAAAAACACTCTTAAGTCCACTCACCTTTTCACTGTTGTGGAAAGTTTAATTCCAGTGTATCCATTTCTTCACAGATGTTTTGAATTTAAATTGATTTTTCCTTCCAAACCAGAAACTGTACCATGAGAACACCAGATAACAGTTTTCTCAAACCCAAGAAAAGTCAAAGTTTACATGAACAACACATGACTTGAATGCACGAATTCCCCATTTCTTAAAGGTACATGTGTTACAACTTTACAGAGGAAGTTTTTATATTTAAACTTCATTGAAATCTTACAATTTTGAAGCTAATGAGGTTTGTTTGTTTTGTTTTATTAGAAAAAATACTCAGGCAAGGTCTACAATCATCTGTCAATTATAAATGACTTACAAGAAACTCATGAAGCAATAAAATTAAAAAAATACAAATACAAACTATATCTGAAACACTTCTATTTGGCAATTTTATAACAAATTCAAAAAAAAGAAACAAAGATTACGGATTACTTTATAGGTACAGAAAAAGCAGTAGGTGAAGTGCTCAAGCAAAAAAATAAAAAACCAAAACACTGCATTTTTTTCAAAAATAAAGTCACATCACTACAGATTTTATGAATAATACCCTTGTTAAACAACCATTCCAGAACATCTTATATTAGTGGTGCTTTTAATCTGCACTTCATATCGTTTGATAAGATTATTTTTTTGTGTATATAAGTAACATTTTTAACCCACTGGAGCTAAGCAAGACTCGTGTCAGTACCAATGCAGAATGCATTTGTATTACATTAGGATATGCTCACTTCTGCAACCAAAGGGTTACTTTAAGTTTTAATCTATTTAATAAAAATTTAGTGTAAAAACTGCTGGTTAATAGTTTCACTGTAGTAAATTCCTCCCCAACAAGGAGGACTAACTCTGCAGTTTGACTGCATATATCCATACAAATTTTACATATTAGTTCCTTCCAACAGCGAGGAAAAAACTAATTTTGTGTTCACTATTAGAAAGGAGCGCCATGAATTAATTATGGGTACTATTCATCCCTCTAAGATTTCTGGGAAGGATGTTCAATGTATTTTTGTTCTTACAACAGATATTAACAGTAGTATATAGTCCCTTAGGTATGTAAAAGAAGGTTTATTTTACTGTTAAGGAAGGTGCTTTTTTTAAACAATTCTTCTGGCAGCACTAGTGAATTACAATATCCTTCAATATTATTTCTACCGTAATATATACATTTTAACTTTCATGCCTCTAGAAAAACATCTACAGTACATTTCATAATATAAAAATATATTACAAATCTGCTGAAATATTTACAAGCAATGTCCTATTATCTATATGCAACATTTTTGTCTCCATACAAAGACTAACAGGTTAGACGCATCTCTATTTGTCAGTTAAAAAAAATCCACGGCTTCTTGCTTATTAAGCAAGAAAATGATTTTACTTTCCTTTTCAAAGCCAACTTTGGTGCATAAAGGATTGAATTTCTAGATTAATTTTTTTTTTTTAAAAAATACCATTTTCTTTACATCTAGAAAACATTAGGCCAAATAAAGTATACTTTACAAGTGAATGGGGATCCTAAAGGGTCAAAAAAGCAAAATAAATCACCAGTAACACTATTTGCTTACGTAGAGGTTTCTCAAAACCCGTCCATTGATACGGATCACATAAAAGCAGATCTTATTAACATACTACACTACTCCTGAAAAGGGGGTCAGACATACTGCAACACTCTTAACATCTTTAAACCGTACTATATGTATTCAGAGTTGACTGGAAAAGACAAGCATTCCATCAACATTTGTTTAAACATCATAATCCAACATATTTTAGGGATCTGCAAAAGGACACAAGGTTACAAATGACAAATGATTACTATCCACCATACTCAGAGGGCAAGAGGATAATCCCTTGGTAGCTGTTCTATTGTCTGGCACGTGTTATATTCAGTTAACATGGACAAGAAGCCCAGTAGCTTGTTAACAGTTCTCCTGGGAATTGTGAGTAAATGGTGATGGTTACTTTTTCTTTTCATCAATATAGACTACTGTATCCACTAAAGAAAAAAGCAGCTTAAAGAAGCAAGCATGCAAAGCCTTTTAGTTGTTCCACTAAGTTGCCAGAAGAGTGTTTGCTCAGTCTCCCACTGTACCATTCCATGAAAATGTGGATATACAGTAATATATTAATATATATTCCACGGAAGCATCAACTTCATTCACAGAATGTTTACACTAAGCATAAATATTTATCTAAAAAAAAAAAAAAAGGATGGGATTTGACTAATGTGCAACTTTATCTCTAAATCCATTGTCAGTGACTAAGACTGCAGGTGTCCCCACTTGCTTGGTTTTTACCTCTTCAATCTCTTCTGGGGCATTGTTCTGTAAAAGAAGATGGTATAGATTTACATTAAAACCCTGATATGTGAATTTCAGCCAGCTAGAATATACTATGAAATCATGACTATATAAAATCTACTTTCATTTAATTTGATTAATACTGAAAGCCATTTCTGATGATCCCATAGCAGTGTACAATTTCAGGTATTTATTTCAAACTTTCTATTAAAGTCATCATTTTAGCATGATATGACTCTCTGTCACTTTTTCCCTTGCAAAGTTTTGGTCTTCCAATTTTATGTCTTTCATCTCCCTCAGTTGGTCCCAAAATCTCATTTCACTAACACATTGATCCATACTGTTAAAAATCGAGCACAACACTTTGTGTGGAGATCTTAATTTTATGTGGGAGAGGTGGAAAGGTTTAGTCATTTTTCTTCAAGGACTTAATCCCAGAGATTACATTTTTAGTTTAAAAGATTATTTTTTTTCTTCTCAAGGCAAACTAATCTATTAAGTTCTGCAAAGGTAAACAATATAAAATTAACATCTCAATTAGATTATAAGACAGTCACTGTGTTAAGCAGTTTTAAAACAGACAGTCCAATTTCCTCATAACATTTTTATGATCTACATCAATAATTCATGTACTAAGGTAAGTATTTTAAATACTTACATTTACAAAAATAGCAGATATAGTATGATTTATTTTCATATTGTAAACCAAGATTTCATTAATTTGATTAGTGAAATACACTGAATATTAAAGGTGAACTGAAAGGCTTATTGCAAGACCTCAGATTAGTGTTCTATTTGCTGCTTTAGACACTCAGTCACTGGATGTTAAGGAAGAAACATCAGAACACTGAACTTCTGTTATGGCAGAAAAAGCTTTTTATTTTTCATGACCCATTTTCATGAACTTTTAACATAAGCCCTTAAATATATATCTTTGGACATTCAAAATTTAAGAATGAAATAAGCATTTCAGATTACCTTTAAAAACTGTACACACACACAGAACTGTGGGTACTGACAATTATGTGAGTGCACTAATAAAGAGGGGGAGGGAAAAATCAGGAAATTATTAGAAACCAGATGGATTAGAAGCCAATCTGAAGGCCCAAAACCACAAATGTGAAAGTAGCTTAAAGGCAAGTAACATGTACTGTCCCCTTCTGTCCCCATATAAAGAATCTTGTATTAAAAAATAACAGTACTTGAATACAAGTACAGATTTCAAGGTAATACTGCATGTATTACAGTTGGATATAAAATATGGAAAGATAAATTTGGACTTTAAAAAAATTGGTATACAAACCAGTATGTGATCTTAACAGAAGGGATCTTTCAGGATTCCACTGTATGTACCTCCTTTACTAGAATTTCTGTACACCAAGCACAAAAAAGTAAAATACACTTGGTAAATACACACATTCCCCGTTTCTCAGTAACTAGAGTTCAGTTCAAGAAGTAATTCTGAAATAACTTAAGACCTCAGAACTTAACTCCTGGACGTTTACAGTATCAAGGCTCCCTGGTCTGGTGTATAGTACATTAGGAATCCTGATTTTCCAACGTCAAAAAGTTAAGTGAGGCTTAAGATTACATTCAAGTAAAGAAAGTTTCAAAATTAAGATGTTACCTGTATATGTTTGGGTCCAGAAGCAAGGCAGTATCTTTTGGGAGTTTTGATAAATGAACTACTTTAGTTTTTAACTGATGTCGTTCACTTTCATTTACCCACACATCAGGCAGACTATGAATAAATAAATAAAATAAAAATATTCAAAAAAGATCAACTGTTTTTCTTACCATAAAATTATGTGGTAAACTAGTACATATGAAGTTTTTTTTTTAAGTAATCTCCACATTTCCCTGCTTAAAAACCATCTTCACTGGAATGAGGAAACACAGTCAATCTTTACATGTTACACTTCAAAGTTTTTTAAGTTCTCAGTGTGAAACAGAATTTAGATTATTCCAGAAGAACACTAAACATACACACAATGATAATTCCACTACCTATTCCATTTTAACAACTTAATGTGAAAATGGGTAGCAGGAAAAACAACTGCATCTTTGAAAATACTTTATTTTACTGGGCATAAAATTCTTTGATACTGTTAAAAAAAGTAAGTAAAGGACAGAATATAAAGCAGACACTAAGCTTTGCCTTACACTAATTTACTTGCTCCAAGTTCAAAGGTTTCAACCTCAAAATCCTCCAACTTTGTTGAAGTTAGTCATTTTACTATCTTCTGAGGAAATCCAGGTAATCACCACAAAATCTTTTGGCTGTGTAACAGCTCTCATTGTGAGATGAAATAAAACTTGGTCTCTACACATTAAAATGAACTGTTGCTTCAGTGCCACTTGCACTGAAACTTGTGAAGAGGGCTGGAGATAACACACACAATTATCTCCGTTTTGCACTTTAATTACTTGAGCCCAAACATGCCTAACTCAGAGTGGCTTATTGCATTGCTGCTTCTTTTATCAGATGTACATTGGACTCTTAGGGCCCTGCTGAGGTTTTCAGGTACATGTTATTAAGAGAAGCACTGGGCTTGCAGAGCTCATCACTGTCTTACTGAAAACCTGCTTTCTTGTCAGGGCTCTGCAGAACAAACAAGGCATCCCTTTTGTCTCCACTACTGGGGGAGGGGGGGGGGGAAACCAGACAAAAAGAAAAGAAAAGAAAAAAAGGTAACTCCCAAAAAAGCACAAAAAACCCACAAACAAAAAAATCCCCACCCAAACCCCAACAACCCCCTGTGATTCTTTTTAGCCCACAAAGTCATTTGGGGTTTCCGGGGTTTTGTTTTCTTTGGTGTTTTGGTTTTTTGTGTTTGTTTGTTTGGGTTTATTATTTTTTACGTGTCCTGGAAGCCAAAGATTAATTTTAGGTTGGGGGAAAAGTTTACATTTGTAATTAAGATCTAACTCTTTGGAATAAATTTCAAATTGAGAAACCCAACACTTGAAACCAGCTAAATGTAACAGCCCTTTCTCGGACCAAAGATAAATGCAGTTCTACAGATTTTGCAATTTATTTTCCTGAATCTTCATTTTGCAGCCATGAAAGTGAGCTGTAACTCAAATTCAATTTTCTGGTCAAGCTGTTCAAAACATGAAACGAAACCAAGAATTTCTATCCCAGCAGGAAATGGAGTTTCTCCAACAAAACTTTTCAGATAAAGGTAGAAGAAAAAAACAGAAAGAAAAAAAGTGGGGAAGGAACAACCCAGGAGGCAATCCATATATCCACTAAGGATTATGGATCATAAAAGGTGGAAAACCATCATAAGACTTTTTCAAATAATGCCAAAATCAGTTTTTGGACAAACAACATTTGGGAGACTTTTTTAGTAGAAACTAGATGCTGAAGATGCAAAATTACACAAATAGCAAATAAAAAAAACTTCTCACATGCAAAGACTATTTGAAATATACATAAAGACAGCAACTCAGTAAGCTAAGAAGTACTGGCACCAAGACTAAATTCCTGTTCTAAAAAAAATAGAAAAAATTAAAAGTTTTTCCCTCCTATATAGGAAACAGGTTAAAGACTAGCTTTTATTTTTCCTGAAAAAATACTTAATGTACACGTAACCTTAAGCACTTTAACAGTTGCTCAGAAGAAGTTAAATCATTACTACCAGATCCATCTGAAATTCAGGCTGATGGAAAGTCATCCCCTCTACAGTGTGAGTGCACGGATTGTATAAAAACAGACTGATGGCATGTGCCCAGACACCTTGGTATTTGCTGTTCTTAACTGTAATAATCAAGATAAAATTCAATCTACTGTACGCTCAGTAATCCAACACTACATCATTTAGGGATGAAATATACCCTCTCCCTAACCCAACCAAGATGCAAGAAACAGCAATATGAAACATTATTCCTTTGACCTGACCAGCCAAATCTCCATTCTATCAGGGATGGTTTAACATTTCTGAACAACTTGTCTTCTCCAATGCAGAGATTCTTAATACTGAATTCATCTGCGTGAGCAAAAAATCCATTTGACTGTATAAAAATGTAAAACCTGCTATTTTTATTTATTTTTCATGTTCCCAGTGTTACTACACTTTTTAATGATTTTTATCTTAAAATGCAATTAACTGTCCTTATCTGTAACATTTCAAAAATAATAACTTCAGAATGCTGTTACACATAGTGCTGCCAGCTGCCCTAAAGGTAAACAAAAATCTGGTTTTTTACTAGAATATTTTAGTTATTGTCTCCCAAGCTGAACTGAAACTTGCAGTCTACAAGTGCTGCAGGGAGCAGCAAAGATGCAGACACTTCAAAATTCCACCAAGATGTCAACCATTGCTGCTGATAATTTATCAGCAACTCCAGTCCTCTACAAATACAAGTTATAACAGACTCATGCTGCCATTTTCTCACCACTGCACGTGACTGATTTGGGACACTACAAAGGTGAGTGATTTAAACCACCAAAGCAAAGGTAAATTTCTGTTATGCCACAGCTTTATCACTATCCCACTCAATCACCTGGAAGCATCACCAAATCAAAAAGGTCTCTTTGTTCTGTAAGTGTTAAAAGAAAGATGAGAACTCAGCAATTTCAAGGTAGATAAATTATTTCTAGAGGATATGTACTACTTCATACATCCCAAGACTACCCAGGAGCAGTACCTTTGTCCTGCTACTCATTTGGAACAAAGCAAAACTTTGAAAAGAAAGAGGAAAAAAAAAAAGCAGTCAAACATGCTGGAAAAGCATTCCAAGCTTCAGTGGGAGAATCCAAAGAAGCAGCAATATGACATGGACACCTTAAGGGGCCAGCTGTGGGTATTATACTGCTGAATTGTGGTACCCAGGTAAAGAGTCATGGAATTCTATTGTTATAATGACAATTGCACATTTTTCAGTACCTGAAAGTATTTTTAGGATCATGAAAAATCAGTGGGTAAAACAAAGTTGCCTCAGTGCTAAGTTTTCTTATGTATATGGCTGCATAGTGCATAGTGACAAAATGCATTAAAAATATAGACTCAAATTTACCTGAAATCATATTAGAGCCCAAAGACTTGAAAATTTAGTTAATCAGTTAAAAAAAAATCAATTAAACATTGCTTATTAATTTTAAATTTTCTAAATTACTTTTTGAAAAGCATTTTAAAAATATTAACTTGAATTTAAATACTCAACAGCACAAAATAATATAGTGACAGGCAGTTCATTTATCCTGCTGTAAATCCTTCCCCATTTAAATCCTGTAGCATATCACTAGCAATATACTCACATGTCCTCAGGTGTCCAATGAAGCAAGAGTTTTATTTTTCCAGAGTCTTCTTTTCTTTTAGCTATTACCTATAGTAATTACAAAAATCATAATTAAAACCAAATTCCCTATTTTTTGCTCAAAAACTGTTGTTCTTCATGTTCAGCTGCACATTCATAAAAGGGAGATTGTTTTACTTGCTCCAAGTTGTATTAATTCTATATAAAGTGTACATATCACTAGGTCACAGACAAGAAGCAAGAACTCCTTTCTCAGGATTTCTCATAGCAGTTCACAGTAGCCCAGTACATAAGGTACTCTCCAGAGAATTAAGTTTTTAAGTGTAGGAGCCCGAGGTTAGACTCCCACCTTCAGCCAGCATAAAACAGAAACACAGCTATGGTGCAAACAAATGCAAAATTGCAAAAATGTTTGCAAGAACGAAATTAAAAACATTATTTGCTATTTTGACGCTTGTAATCAGAGATTTATGGTCAAGTCTGCAAAAGTTCCAGCAGAAATGGGAGTAAAATCGTTTGCCTGTAATAAATATGCTCTGAAGACTTGAAATTGTTCTGCAAAGAACTTAAGTCTATTTAAATTTTTCACTTCAAACCCCAATTCAGCCAGGCAGTGTATGCTCACTGCAGCTTTATTCGAAAACGTTCTCCCTACATTCTCTACACTGCATGCACTGTCCCAGAAACAAAATGGAAATTTAAAGGAAATGTGCATCAGAGTTGTCTCAAATTAGAAATGGAGTTCTGCTGACCTCTTCTGGAAAAAGAAAACAATTTCACCCTATAAATTGCTGTGCGTCTCACTCTATTCATTCACTGTGTTACAAAGTCTTAACATTTCAAAACACATGTTTCAATACATCAGTTCACTGGACTGAAATAGGTAAAAAAGCTAAAACCAGAGAACAGTTTAGTATTCAAATATTTTACAGAATTAATTCAAGACGTGTCAAAGGTGGGGGAGGCACAACAGGGTAACATATAAGTTGCATTTTTTAGTCAGTGTAATATCTGGTCTTTAGGTTAAATAGAAATGCTTGACTTTTTCTATCTAAAAATTCAAAGAATTAAAGCACAAAAATTTGACTCCAATTAAAAAAAAACAAGCAGGAAAAAAAAATCATAATCAAGTCAAAGGAGAACTCTGGATGGTAAACACATTTCTTGAAAAAGGTTTTATTAATGACCGCATTCTAAAGCTTTGTATATCTACAAAGAAAAGGATGGGTTAAAATAAGTATATATCAATAAAAGGATGTGTCTTTTCATAGGACATGAAGGGTATCTACGGCAGTTGCTTAGAAATTCTTTATATTATATCTGTCCTGTAAATACTGCATTGTTTTGGCATTATTTTTACGTATATTGGCATTATTTTTATGACATAAAAAACCCCCCATCATTCACGTCCCTTTTCAGACAACAAGGCAATTTTATCTTCATATTTTTCACCTTTCAAATTAATGTCCATGACTCTATGATTCTAAGATAGTTCTACATTTCTTCTTCATCTTAAGGTGGGCCACACAAACTTATTATGCTATTTAGCCAGGCACCACTCAAATTTCACACCCTAATGCCTTTAAGTGATGCAAAATGTGTTTGCATCCGAGCTATCATCAGCTCACTGTAACAGTGCACATCCCCAGGACTGCTTCGAGCCTGCCTTTTCTTTTTAAAGCCAGTTTTAGGCTGTGTCTCATCAACTGCAGCAGCAAAAGAGGGTTGGGAGCTTGGAGCAGTTCCCCCACTGGTACAACCTCTCCCCAGCTGAGGTCTGAGCCATTTCAGATCCAATCAACCTCCCACCATCTCGAGTGACGCACGCACGGATAAGCTAAAAGGATTTTCAGCACTTCCTTCAAGTTCATCTGAGGCAATTTTAGAGCATGTTCCTCCCTCTAATTCCACCTCCTTATGAATTATTCCAAAAGGCAGAGCTGAGCTTTCACAACTGAGCAGTCTGTCTGGATAACCTTTCAGATTAAAGCCTGCTGTGAATTGGAAGAGAATCTGCCTTTCTCACAGCATTTTAAGATCCACGTTTGCCCAGAACACTAGAATGAGATTTAAATACAGTAACAGCTAAACCACCTGCAAATCTCCACTTGCAGCTGCTGCTCAGCTGCACATAAAGTTCAGGAATAATCATTTGGAAAAAATTTCTAATACAGGCCACAGATATTTATAACAATCCTCAGTCCCGTAGAACAGTATGAAATAAGTTTCGTGCATACAAAATCATCTTTTATTTATGGAAAGAGACAGAGTTCCAGACTTTGAATCATGTTAAGATCAAACTGGAGCTGAGGACATGTCAGTCAGCATTCCTTCCTTGGACTGCAGTTCATCTTGCATTAGTCTGCCAATTCAAAAACTATCCCTTCTCATTTCGTCCCATCTCTTCTTTTCTTCAGCTGAGTCTCCACCTTTTACGTGCCCACATCTCTCAGTTTGGTTAACAACACCTGAGGTTACACAGCTTTTTGAAATTCTGACCCCTATACTCCAACTCTCTACTTTTTCTCTGGAAAAATGATGTCTTTCCTATCCAAATACAATCGAAATTCACAAAATAGGATATGGAAACAGGACTAAAGGCCAGTTCCCCACCTGGTACTTGCCTCCTTCTAGCAATTCACTGACATCTTGGTGTAAGTTTATTAAAAGAAAAAAAATGGGTACAAGAAGACATTTATTCAAGATTGTATCCTTTAAACTGGGGAAAAACAAGGAAATAAAACACGAATTTCAGATCAGCATCTTTAAATATTCAATTACAGTCAAAATATTCCTTGTGATAAATTAGCACTGTCACTCACAATTAAGGAAATGCCATCTGAACTGCTTTCTTATTTAGAAGGCAGAACCACATTTTCCTGCAACACATACTTGCTGTTAGATATTTCCCCAAGATTATCAGACAGCAAGCCTTTCAGTTTGTGAGCTACCACAACTACCAACACTGCTTTTTAAAAGTTAATTTACTAACAGCAATGGACAAATTAACAATATAAAATACCCACTATTACTCGTTTCTGATTAAATGCCTACAGCAATAAGAGGAAACCAGAAATCTTTCTGAAGGGCTAGATTTTTCAGACACACAGGTAAACAAATAGAATGCATAATATGTATACTTACAGTACTATGAAATACAACACTGTGGCCTTTTCCTAAACTTTCTATATGTGCTGAGAGATTAAAGCAGATGGCTCGATGTCTTATAGCATCCAGTGTTTGTGCATCGAAGAAGTCATGAGGTCTTGCTGGAAAAAAAGGAAAAGAGATCCTCAGTGTTCAACACATTCAAAGCACACAAACCAGAATCAAGCATGTGAACAAGTCTGAAGTGTCATTAGCAAATCATTTATCATTATGGCAGCAGCACTACCTTGTCAGAGAGTTGCAAACATCAGCTGAGAGGAAGAAATTAAAATTACTCCAAGAGAAGCACAATTCAGGTTTGGTCAAAACACACTCCCTGTGGATCAAACAGCTGTTTTGAAAACTGTAACTGTACTTGGCTCGTTTCATTTTGGTTTCAATAATGCTGAATAATCAGGTGAGAAACTCCCCACTACTACACATTTCCTTCCATGTACAAGGTGTCATTCCGTGTTCTTTGACAATCAGTAAACATTTTCTAGCCAAGAAGAACCAACTGCATCCCACACCACACTTCAATTTATGAGTAAAGCACAATTAACATCCATACAATATTTTTACAACTAGTCTATAACCAGCAGAAACTAATAAGGACCTTTTCCTTTTAGAAAAGGACTTCTATAGTTAAGTTTTTCTCAAACACTAAAAAGAATTTTGATCTAGAGTGTAAAGAAAGTCTATCAACTCTACACTAAAAGTATTTTAACTAAAAAATAATTGCTACTGGGCACATATTTGCAAAGTGTTAAGAATAATTTGCAAAAAAAAATTAAAATATACCATACAATACAGTAGTAAAATTACAGTAGTAGCATTCCCATTTTTAAGCCTTGAGACTAGTAGTTGCTAAATAACACACTGAAATTAAAACTACAAAGAGGAGTTGATATTACATTATCAAAAATGTATTACCCTGAAATCTGCACAGTGATTCAAAGTTCTGCTGCCTTAATTTAAAACAACTTCTATATTCATCTCTCCATTATTTCAAAATGAACTACAAATTCCACTTAAAGCTAGCATTTGCTACTTAAAGCTAGCATTTGCATTAGTCCCACTCGTGGGACTAATTGTTGTTAAGCATTCATCTGTACATTATGTTCTGTCCCTACTCCATCTCAGTTGGATACTGCCAATTAGGCAATCATCTCACTGAAATGTTTTCTCGCTCTAAGTGGTAATGTGGAACTGCAGCTCATGCTGCAGGTGGTCAGTGATGCAAGCATATAAATATTTTATAAATAAATATGAGGGAGGAAGGAAGGGAAGATGGAAAGAAGCTAAAAAAATAAAAAACAACCAAATTTTTTCTTTTCGCTTCATACAACAAATTTCTTCAGGATTTACCACATTCAACAGATGCAGAAGAAAGGGCACAATTTTTCCAAGGCACTTGAATAGTTTTATTTACCCCTGATATTGCTCCTTACTGAACATTAGTGCTGTATCTTCTATATACATCTCTTTAATCTGAAAATAATTTTGAGGGAACAACAGATTTAAGTATCTCCTTTCCTGCCAATCCTGCTTCACTTACTTAAGTCAAATAAATTAACATCATCATACCAGGAACCTCCTAAATGAAAATGCAAGCATTATGTAACTAAGGTAGTTTTACTGTAAATTCTATGAACAGCAACCTTCCTTATCTCTCTTACATTCCTCCAGAGAACTGTATTACTCTTTTTATTAACCACAGTGTCACCTTTGCTAATGGAAAAGCAAGTGACAGTCCTGTATTCTTCAAGGTAGCTTCAGAATAGCAACACTGTGACCTATTTTAGATACACACTTTCAATATATTTGGTTCTATACCTCCAAATATCACCAGACTACACAGATCAGGGAACAGGTACAAGGCTATCCAGATGAGAAAGCAATCTACTGACTGTAATCCTGAATTATTCTAAAAAAAATCAAAATTTCTAAGACAAATCACATCTCTACAGCACCACTAATGTAACCAGCTATAAGGGTGTCTCCAGTAAAACACGCTTTTATCACAGAAGTGCTAATTTCCAAACTTATAAGAACATGTATTGTTTACAGACAGGACAAAAGAAATGCAAAACAGTTTAAGAATGGCAAGATGCTAAAAAAAAAAAAAAAGGAAATCAAGTAACAGTAAGAATTCTCTTTATGGAACATATTTTCATCACATATAGCCACAGTAAAGTCTCCTTTTTTATTTATACATTGTCTCACAGAAGAGTGTTAACCTTCATATATAAACCAGAGGAAGCAAATGTATAAATCTGCTGTATTTAAACTATTAAGAATTTAAACATGAGGATGCTTCAATAGCAGCATATACTGGCAACTGATGGCCAATAAATATTTAGTAAGCTCCTTACACCTTGTAAAAATCCAGGGTCTAATCAAATCACGAGGAGGTAGAAAGAACACGCTGACAGCATTTCTTCAGGACACAAATTGTTCTGTGGTGCAAAACTGCAATTTTCTCTCAATGATTATCTCCAAGTGATTGTAAAAGACTGTGCACTATCAAATGGCATCTTGTTTTACACTCCTGGCATTAACTTCTTGTAACCCAACCTGCAGAGAACCTGCACTTACATTAAACACCTCTCCTTTTAGGCACTTAAAATTATCTAAATATAAATCCATGTTCTTAGCTTTATATACTCTAGACTGAAAATACTCAATGCTGTTATTGTGTTACTTTGACTTCTTAGATAAGGGTGTCTGCTTTCCCTCATTCTTCTTGTAGAGACAGAACACACAAACCTGCACACTTCATTCTTGAACTAAAACTAAGAAACAAAAGGATGAGCAAAACTTCATCAGCCCTTTGTCTCATTCACCTCATCAACAATAATCCACATGAAGTTTTAAAGAAAAGCTGCCAATACTTTGCATTTTCAGAAAATGCCATCAACTTTGGATACATTTCTGGGTCACATACCCTCTGGAGAAATACATTACAGCAGTCAGTTCCCAACTGAGTTAGAGATGATTTCTGCCTTAAGGCAAAAGTCTACAGCCAGCATTGCATTTGTCTCCAGAGGCAGGAAGACAAGAAATTGCTCAAGCAGCTGTCATTTTTCTTCCTGTGCAACACTTGATCGAGAAAGCAGATCATTCAAATACTACAGTCCAGTCTTTAACAATCCCTACTAATATTTACTACTTCCATTTTTTGCCATAGATTCATTCAAGAATTCTGCAGTAAGTTCTTATTACAACTACAGCATCTTAGCAGGTAATTTGAAGCTTTAATTACAAAGCTCCGATTTGAAACCTGTAAGTCGATAATGTTCATCAAGTACTAATAAAATGCCAACCTGAAAAACTACTTCTACATATACTGGGGGGGGGAAAACAGAATTAAGATGCTTTAAATCAGCCACCTAACAAAATCAATACGGAGAAACAAGCCTAGATGCAACTCGAGAACCTCTGAAAGTGAAAATTTTGAAGTGACCAGTCTTAGATGTATATTTGATTTGAGTAACACAGTCAACAAGTCACAATATTCCTTTAGGAACCTGCAACTGTCCCAAGTAGATGCCTCTCCCATTACATGTAAGATGTAAAAAGTGAGCCCATAATCCTTCACTGACCAGCCTTCCCTTCTTGAACCTTCTCATTTACACAGATTGTTAGAGTGAAAGGGAAAGCCTTTGAAAAACAGATTCTGAAAAGAACAGAAACAGTTTGCTAATTTCTTTGGATGTTAAATCAAAATTAGAGGAATTCTTGAAGTCTGTGCTTCTGAGATGTGTTTCACAATCCAATTTGCTCATATATATTTTAAGAATACCCAAGCATTCCCCCTTCAAAAAAAAAAGAAATTCAAAAGAGAAGTTAACAGTGACTCAGGAAATAAACTTTTCAGAACTCTAGGTGACACTAACTTTCCAGGACAGGCTTCTCTGTATTCAAGGCAGAAACATGACCACTGCTTCATAAGTTTCAGTTCCTTAAGACACAGGTGAGGTATTAAGATAAGAATAAATCCCAATCATGTGATAAAGAGTATCACTTAAGACCACTAGTATGTGCATCCATTGTTGCAGTACCACTTGAATAACTGGTAACTGTGTTTCTTCCCAGGAAGAGAAAGATGAATACAGTTAAGTGTTCTGCCACAGAAAAGTTCTGGCAAAGTAACACTGGACAGTATGAGATTTAACAGGTGCATAAAAAAGGTATCTTGTGCTACTCTCCAATACTGTAAGATGGACTTTGCACCACCAGTAAAAAGTTTTTTCTTCAGCTGTTGACATACCAGACGAAAAAAAATCTAAATGTTTTTTACATCTCTGAGATGCAGGTGTCATAGTAACAGTTCAAAATCAGTTTGGTACTGAAGAGTTGCATCCAAAGCAATTATAAAACAAAGTGAAATATTTTAACAATTGCCTAGTCTTTCCTAACCATTCTTATACATTAGAACCTCTATATAAATGTGACATTGTTATTAGTCTAATACTAGGACAACTCAGGAATCAAACATCTAGATCTAAATGGACTAGAAAAGGTACTGGCTAAGTGATTATTACTTGCTATAGGTAACAGTTCTCACTTTAAATGACAAATTACACCTCTCAGCACATTGGTTCATATAAAATTAATGAATATCAACTGTATGGAGACAGATTAAAAAAACATAGCAAGTCAATTCTGCCCAAAATTAGATCTTGGTTATGCTCATAAAACTGTCATTAACATAATGAAATGTTGTGCTCAAAGAAGAGCTTATATAACATGCATTTATCTCTAATTTATATGAATCTGCAATCTCTGTCTGCAATACTGAACTTCAGATCTCATCAACACTAAACAGAACATTTTCCAACAGTAATAGTCAGTAAACAGAGAGTGACTCTGAAATGAGAAGTCTTTTTCAACTGTGAACTCCAACTGTTTCTCACAGGAAACTGATCTTTTCTCCTGAACGTGAAGATATTTACCCTGAAAAGGAACACAAACAGAATCTGGAACTGTTTTCTTCTCACCACGAGGAATGCCAATCCTACCAGATCCACATACGCAGAGAAAACACCACACTGGAGAGGAACTTCCAATCCCAGACGACACTTCAAGAACTTCTACAAAATACTCACGTAGTGATCGTCGTCTCTTGTTCTTTAATTTCCTTCTTTTATTCATTCCAGCTTTAGATGGAGATTCCTCTTTGGCCTTTGGCTGGCTGGCAACTTTTGAAGAGTTCTGCTGGCTGAAGTGTGTGGGCACATGACGGGCAAGTCCTCCCTGAGATGCAAAGCTGGCATTGCACCCACCAACTACACACTAGGGAGAAAAAAGCAAAAAACTGCATCAGGTGCTTGTGCACAGGAGTTTGACAGATCTCTGTTTGACTTTTCTGGCTCAACTTCCAACACATTAAAGGGAAGATACATTCTTACTGACCTTGCAATTCTTAAAAACAAAAACCAAACATATTCTGAAGCAAATTTGTTTGAAGTTTTTAACTCCCAGTAATTATTCCATGGCATAATATTTTTCCATGCTATGTCATATTCTGAAATATTGTATAGCATAAAACCAATCTCAAACAATGCACTGGTAAACTCTTTGTACAGAAAATAAATGCTTCTGAAGACCTTTGCTTTTCATAAGCCAGCATTCCCTTATCTTTCAAAATACTGCATTTGAACATCCTCCTTTCTTGTGACAAGGCAGAAGTAAAAAAAACCATCCCTACCCACATTAAATTGGAAACAGCTCAATGCTCTTTGTAAATGCTACACGAAGTCAATGAACAGCTGGCTTACACTTCTGTCTAAAACTTAAACTTCAGAGATTTTAAGCAGTACTAACAATTATTTATAAATTTATTTGGGGATTCTACTATTACTTCAGAAGTATTTAAGAAAGTTCTTATTTAAAGAGAATGTCCTCTTTCTCAAACAGAAAAATAAGGAAAGATCCACCAATAATTAAGCAAAAACACAGAAACTAGAAGATAGCTGCAACTAAGCTAGTACTGGCTACAGTTATTAATGGTATTTTTGTAAGGATTTAGTTTATATTTACAATTATTTCATTTCCAAAATAAGTATTCAAATTATACCATTGGAGAGGGAGGGACAAACCTTTTTTTCTTGTGCTCTGAGCTTACAAGGGTAATAGCAAAGTGATTTTAAGATACACATTCCATCACTGGCTGCCATTAATTGTGTATCCATATGACTGATTTTCCTTCTGATCCAAACAACAGCAGTGGGGCAAATGACTTGATCAGCCACTAGCAAAAAACCTATCACCACTCTAAACCATTGGAAAGTTCTCCTCCTTCCACATCTGTTCTGCTCCTCCCCTCCCTTCCCTTCTTTCGCAGCTCTTTCACCTGTGTGTCCCTTCTCTAGCACTTCCCTGCACAGCAAACTGATGAGGCAGCTCCAACAGGAATTTGGGAATAAGTTATGCTGCAAATATGAACATACATAGTGCTAAGTCATCTCCGAAGACTAAGGACAAATCTGCAAGATTACAGTAACCTGCCCCAGTCCTGCACATTTGACTGAGAGACAAGAAAATGGCTGTAAAACTCCACATGTCCCATTTTTTGTCCCTAAAACCCACTGTGTTGGTTTCCAACAAAATTCTGGCTGCAGAATTGAAAAGTCTTTTCTGCCTCAACCTAGAAAATGGTTCTCCATGATAATCATAAAACACAGTATCCATGAAAAGAAAGAACTGTGCTGTCCCCAGAAACTTAATACTTGCCACAGGACTAAAAATATGAACATAGATTGCTAGACAGTAAAGGACTTTTTTATTTTAAAGGGAAAAATACTTAGAGGGAAAGTTTTCTATACCTTTTTACCTTGCTCTATAATTTCCCATGATCAAACAACACTAATATTGTCTACTTATATTGTAGTGACTTACAATGTAAGAAATCCCAGCACATCTGTGAAGTTCAGAACACTCTGGATGCTGATCTCATTTACACTGCAGTAACCTCAACACAATTTTCATCACTTCAAAATTAATGCTGAAGATTTAAATTTATACTTTTAGAATCATAGGATGGTTTGGGTTGGAAGGCACCCAACCCCTCTACTGTGGGTAAGGACATCATCTACTAGATTTGGTTGCTAAACTCCATCCAACCTGACCTTGAACCTGAATCACTCACTTGTATTAAAGGTGACTGAACTCACAATCAACAAATACCTGTAAAATGCATGTGTGCATTAGTTCAAGAAATCTTTCGTTCTCCAGTTTTTATGTCCCTGAAATAGCTGTTCTGCCCATAAAAGCAGCTTCATGAAACTAAACTCAGTCACTAAATCTAAATTTAGGATTAACTTTCACTGATGTGCTCCTGCCTTCAGATTCCAGCTCTTTCTGATCATACAAAAATTTTCAGAAAAAAAGAAAACTTGGGTCAAAAAACCCCCATACCCTGAAGTTCAGTCACACTGAGATATTAAAATATCAGCTTTACCAATGCCTGCTAGAGGTCAAAAATAACCTAAAGTCCTGGTAGAGTGCATGCATTACTATACTCCATGTTTATTGAAGTACAGTATCAAAAGGTAGTACCTTCTGGAAAAAAGCACAAACTTTGTGTCAGGCCCATTTCTAAAACTTTTTAAAACACAACTGAACTTCTTGTCAGATGGGAAACATTGTTTTATGACAAACTGCAGTTTGAGTCATGATGTCATAACTTGCCTTTTTTCTAGTCATGTACAAAGAAAATAATCACAGATACTCTACATGGGTTATCTACAGAAGCTACCATTTACTTTTCTTGCTCTACCCAAATTTTACTTCCAAAATACCCAAACCAGCATCCTTAAATCCTCAATATCTGCAACTTGCAACTGGAAAGTATCTTTTTCCAGACAGCCTATTAATAGTCTACCACTACAAGACAAATATTTGCAGAAATGATTACATACAGATACTGCATACTTTGAGACTACCTGACCATGTCATCAAATAATCAACAGCTGACAGATCAAAGATGACACAGAATGCCTTTGCAGTAGACAGGAAATAGTAGAAGAGGAGGAAAAAAAAAAAATCTTACCTGCTTTTTTCTTTTTTTTCTCTAAAATAATATATCCAGCAATCCGTTACTAATGGGTAAAGTCTCTTCTCTCCAAAGATAAAGGAGCAGTTCAGGCTGTCACTTCAGGATCTCTGGACGGTAAGTCACACCAAATCAGCTTCCCACCAGATAATTATACAGCTCTAGAGGGCTTCTAATAAATCAAACTCAACTATTATGCACAACTTTAAACCAAATCTTTTCATTTTTCCCCCAAAACCTAAATTTCAAAATTTCACAGTCGATTTGAAATACGACAGATTGGGTCCGGATTGGTGGATATGTTACTTCAAGAGAAAATAAGTAAACACATAAGAAGTTTAATTTCTCCAGTGTACCCATACCCACCATTATTAATGGGCAGTAATGACCAGTGACTTTAACAAACAGGATGTAAAAAAGTCTAGCAATGCAGGATTTTGTTCTAAATTCAAAATAACCGAATCTCCTACTTGGACCATTCAATGTGTAATTTTTCTAGTAAATCTAACAGCAATAGTTTAGACATCTGGATAAACTTTCTTATTGTCTCAACATCTGAGTGTTCAGGCAAAATGCCTTTACATTTTATATCTGCATCTGCAATGCTCTAATGGATGGAAGATATTCTGCCAAGAGAGTAACAGACATGAATTTCCAATGAGGACTGAAGATGCTTGGCTGCGTTTTCTACATTTCAACAACTGTTGCTCTATTAAGTCATATCAAACACAGTCACCCCTTAATGAATTCCAGAAGTTACAGGTGGCAGAATGAGCACCAAACTTCATTTTTATTATTACTTTCTTCCCCCCTTTTAAGCAAAGGATGAAAGCCTCCAATGAACCTGTGCTCTGCCATTCAATGTCACTGAAAACAATTACCCCACGTGAGCAAACCTTGCATGACTGCTCTTAAACATGAAGAGCATATCCACTGGAATCCATATGTGAAAGCAGCTGGCAGCTTACCCACATGCAGCCTTACAGAATCACAAACACATTTAGGTTGGGAAAGACCCTTAAGGTCATCGAGTCCAACCATAATGCTAACCAATATGGAAATATTTTGCATAAAATCTCCACTGTTTTGTGCTCATCTCCCATTTGTCCTTTCACTGTGCCTAACACTTTGTATTTGGTCACCTAGGCTATGTTTTAAGGGTTTATTTGATGTGTCTTAAAGTAACTTTCAATGCTGAGTAATACTTCCATAAAGTATTTTTCCCCCTGAGTCCCAAAAACCATGCTGGAAAATGCAGGTTGTCACAACTCCTTAACTATTCAAATACTTATTATTTGTAACAGCCAAGTTTAGGATAAGTAAGAGAAAATTTCTTCATTCACTGTTTCTCTATTTGCCAGTCACTGGTATCAGTTTTCCAGCTCAGACTATTCCTGTAAATCCACTTGTCTACATGGTCTGAAAGCCTGAAAGTCAAATTGCTGAACCCTCAACAGGACCACATGCTGATGATACTCCACAACATTCCACCAGCTTCTAAAAAGCTGCAAAAAAATTATGTAATAAGAGGTCTAAAAAAGAACAATGTTGAATTTTTTCTCTCTCAACTCTGCTTGTAAAACCATAAACAAAAATGAACATACTGGAGGTCTCTGGAGGGAATACTCACATTAAATTAATGTCTACAATGACAAAAAAAATTTAAAAAAAAAAGAAAAAAAAAGAAAAAAGTTGGCTAAAATCACACTGTAATAAGCAAAGAGAAAATTTCTTGCAGTACAAGACCAATGAAATTCAGGTATTTAGAGGAGCAGCACAACTTCAAAAATACCTAACAGTGGCCCAAAGAAGGCTGGTAAATTCTCAATCAGAAACACATTCTGTGAGACCAGTTTGCTTGTTTGTTGCTCTTGTCAAGAGAAACAAATCTAGGAAGTGGTTCTTAAGAAAATTAGGATTAAAAAGCACATGCTTTGCAGAAATCACATTTGACTACATCCTGAGAGCTAACTGCAATGTTAAGTCTCATTTAATGGACACTTTTTCTTTGGTGGAAGGACTGATGTGTGCCCTAGGAAAAGAACTTTATCAGTAAGAGAACTTAGTGATGATGGTCTTAAAAAAATAGGCAAAAAGCCCATCCACTTGTTCTACATGAAACCCAAGACCATCAGCATTAAAAACTTAGAAAAAAAATCGGAGGGAACAAACAGAAAAGTAATATGGCAACTAAAGGGGACATGAGGTCCTCAATTCTGCCTAAAGATCCAGGGTACCTTTATTTTCTTTTTCCTTTAGTTCAGCAGGTGACTCAGAGATGAGCTGGACATACACTACTAGGATATTGCCCCACATAAAAATGGAGCTAGAATAACAAAGGTCTCAAATTTTACCTTTTCTGTGACACAGGTACTGCAAAACTGATGCTGAGGGGGATACACTAAACCACAGAAACAGAAAAAACTAGGATAAATTTATGAAAATATGAAACCTTTTGCCTTTGCAATTTAGAAGTGGGTTTATTTCTGTGACAAATGAACTCCACAGTCACCAGGTTTATAGGAATGCGTGGTAAGGGCATGAAAAGCCACAAGGGCATTTTAAGATGAAAGTGCTGCAGCTTGTTTACAGCTGAATGGAGTCAAAGGACAACACCACGTGGATCACAAAATTAGATAATTAAACTCAAAGTGTGCAACTACACAAAATGAGTCCACTTGCAAGCAAAGGAGTGACAGGACAGGGATATATCCTTCAACAGATTAGTTCTACTGCCAAGGAGAGTGTTATGTCTCAGACAGTCCCCAATTGTTTTTCATCTTAAGAAAAGACTTTTGTCTCTTATTTTCATTAGAAATATAAGAATATATCAACCTGTCATATATTTATTATTCTCTTCTGGTCATTACATGATTATAGCGTACTTTTACCTTTACAAAATTAAATTTTCCATGCTTTTAGTTGTAACTTTCCTAGCTAATATTCTTTGCTTTTCTTTAAAACATCCTGAACATCAGGTCTTCAGACAACACCATCGAACTGTACTATCACCATCACTGCCTTTTACAGCTTTCCTCAAAAATCCCAACATTCATTTATTTATTTTTTTAAACAAAACACTGAACAACTAGGTATTTTCTCCAAGTTTTCTAAAATGACACAGTACTTCCTTTTTATGCCAGGACTCAAGTATATTCTAATGAGGCAACTGAAGTTTCATTTGCAATTTAGGTTTTGGGAGATATTTTGTCTGCAATAATCATCAAGAACAAGAGGTCCTTAAACCAACTATTACTTGAAAAAATTTGGCTTCCCCTAAAAAGGTGAGTAATTAATATTTGTGAGAATAGCTAAATGCAAACAGAAACATTTGCTCCATTTTTGATTGACTGCCACAAGACAATTAATAAAGGCTGTTCTTGGACTGATCAAGATTAATATCCGACACTTTGAGTGTTTTTTTGTATCAGAGAATAGATTTCAAAAGAGAGTAAAAGAAAGAAGCAAGTGAGGAAAGGGGGCTTGTTAATTAATAGGTTGCCATCACAGACACTTACGTACTTGGCTACCTCATGTGAGCCCTGAAGCCTGTACTCAGCATAAGTGACAGGGGAACAAAAGATGTTACAAAATTCTACTGAGACCACAATTATCCTCCATTCAAAGCTCCCAGGAACAGATTGAGAAATACAGGGATAAAAAGAGGGACTCAAGACAACAGTAGGAAAAAAACTGCTGAAGTGACACACACTGAGTCACGATGATTAACTGCTGCAATCCTGTTCTGGTCTCTCCCTTACTATGACCAGAAAGCACAGAAAATCAGCTGGTGAAACAACAGATATTATTAGAAGTAATTACTGTAAATTTTAGGGCTCTAGCTGCAACCAGCCTACCCAAAAACTAGGATACCAACTTTGCCAGGTAACCTTGACAGCAAAAGTATTCCTGGTGTTTCTGAGCTATGCCCACTTCTTCAACCCATCTTTAAAACTGAGTTTCTTTGATCTAGACCAAATAACAATACAAATTAACCTATCAAAAGACTTTCACTCAAGACCAAAACTTGCCATTACACTTTAAGGTATCTAAAATATTTAATCCCAAAAATGAGAAAACCTGAGGTTTCCCCTGGTAACTGGCAGTTGCTTTTTCTTTTTTTTTATTCCAAGATTAGCACTTAAGATTAGTCCCTGTAACAGCCATATCTGCAAACTTTCAGGGGTCTAAGAGCCTTGTGCTCTGCTTCCAAGAGCATGCTAATCTCACTCCTTTGAACAAAGGGTATAACCACTTCAAAACCAATTTTCCTATTGTTATTCACTCTCCGGGTCAGAAATTTTCAGACTCAGCTACGTAGTTCAGCATGGAAAAAAAGTCTGACCTTTGTTACAAAAAAAAACCTTTTTCATGTGCAATGAAATGCACTATTTTCACTTTCTAGGTTTTGAGTTTAGTTTTGTTTTCTGTCATAACTACCGTTAAAAGCTACATAGAACAAGTAACTTCTGGAAGACACCACTGTAACAGAAAAGTATTTTTAGTAATAAAGCTGCCTTAAAATAGAATTTTAAAAAACGCAGAAGATATCACCTGAGAGAAAAGAGAGGAAAGGAAGTGGAGAAACAACGACTAAAAGTTCATGGACTGGGGGTGGGGGAGAAGAAGGCAAAAAAAATGCTATCTAAACTTAAAAAAAACAAACCTAGTTCATTTTCATATCCTACATGGAAGGAGAACTTCAGTCTGAAGTAGTGTGGGTGGGACTTACCATCAAGTGATCCAGGATTGACAGCTATGAACTGCCCCAACTGTATCCATAAGAGGATGAAGCAACTCATTAATAACGGATTGGTGGATATGGGAATGAGAAACACTACTATACCTAGAATTGCAGGTACAGGTTAGGGGGAGAAAGAAAGAGAAAGTTAGAAAATACTATGCAGGAAATACAGTCAGCTCAACGGCCCTGCATTCCTGACTTCCTTATTATTTTCAGAGAAGTCTGCCATAAATAATCACTGACAGCGTTTCAACCGAATTTAACAAAACCAGCTCTTACTCAAACACAGAATGGGCACCATCAGCCATGATCCAAAGTTTAATGTGGAAGTGTAAAGTATGATACAAAACATCTCAGAGTGTAAGCAGATCAACTGAAAAATGCACAAACCCCCTGAACTTAAGTACTATTTAGTTTTACACTCCCCTGCCATTTATAGATTAAAAGAAACAGGGATAGAGAAGCAATAACAGCATCTTCACCTGTTTCCAGGAAAGAACGAGGCCTTTGGGCACCACTATTGCAAAGATGAAGGCTCAGCTCATTGGATGCTTTTTAAGAAATCCTCCTGTGATGGTATTTTTCAATGACATATTGCATGAGGAAAACTAAATGGAATTTCTCTTAAAACAAGAGATGTTGTATCTCACAGTGAACCTTACCTTGAAAGGTTTGTCCCCACTGTGTGTCAGCATATGCCTCTGCAACCAGCTTTGACTTGTTGAAGGTGTATTATATACTTTGCAACCTTTCCACAAGCAAACAAACACCTAATAGAGTAAAAACGTGGTAAGTTTAGGAAAGTCAAAGAAAATAGTAAATAAAAAGACAGATTAGCAAAAAAGACTGTTTTCACCATATTTCACAATACATCAAAGGATTTTAAGAAATAACCATTTCATTTCAATATACTTCTCATATCTCACCAGAGAAAAATAATTACAACCACAAGTATTCCATAAAAACAGGTCACTGGAATAAAATATCAAAACACAGATGCTCCTGCAGATAAACACAACTGAAGCCACAGGATCTGCTGCAAAGAGTTTGTGTTTGCACTCAGTCTCTGTACCCACCAGATACCGAGTCAAAACATTTTTAAATGAAAAGTCTGCAGTTTTTGGGTAGTAGATACAGAAAAATTATTTACTCTTATAAACAACTAATAATTTCATTCTTTAAGCATGAAAACGTAAAAACTCTTAATTGCAATACAGTTCTTTATATACCAGAGTTGAGTTTTGTATTATGGAATAACGGATACCTCTAGTTAGGACCTTATATTCAATTCCTGATGAACAAAGTTACCATTTTTCATAGGATTCAAAATGTATGGGTGTTTTGTGATTCCAATGTACAGACCAGTCACATGCACAATAGTGCATTAACAGGAGCAGAACTTACTCATGCTGCTTTTCTCTCTCCTCTCATTGTGTTTATCTATAACTGAGGGAATAAAAACGCTCAGTGAACTTGCCTTTCATTAGAATTTCCTCAACAGGTCTGTGTGTGAAGGGAGGTAAAGCCCTAATTTGTCACAGCAAAATACAGTCCCCAGAAACAGCACTGTCCACAATACACGTTTTCAGAACTGCAGGAAACTAATTGGATTTGAGTTTCTTGTTCTCGTTCGGAGAATAAAAACCTTCAATCTTCAAAAGATTGTATTTTCAAAACAAAAGAGCAGCCACAGGAGTGCTACGTACTTGCTGTATAATAGATAGATGGCCCAGCTTTACTAATACAAAGCTGGAAACCCCTGAATGTCTGTATGATTGAGCCAGACCTACTGACACAAGGCCCAGCCCCCTAAAGCTTTGATGGCTGCCACTCCTCAGTTCTGAGATTCCCCCAAAGCAACAGAATTGGAATTTCCAAGATCCCTGCCTCTGCAACAGCTCCAGAACTGTCCCAATATTTCCATCAGCAACTGCAGGGCACTTGGCAAAGGTATGAAGTTAGAGACTGTGGAAATGCAATCCCTCCAAAATACAAGGACTTGGTTTTACAACCACCCACCAGAAGTTCAGACAAGGCTTATTGGAAACTCCTGTCAAAAGGTTGAATCCAGCCTTTTTTTTTTTTCAGGAAAAAAAAAATCTTTTGGAAGTAAAACTATTCTGTCAAAAAGTTTTCATGGATGAACCTAATTTGAACTGGAGCCATTATCTCAGTATTAGCTCAAAAATATACATTTTACCCTTCAAGGATGTTTATCACACTCCTTTCTGTTCTCAAATTCCTGATCTCCCCCTTTCCTTTAAATTTAGAGTCACTGTAGCTAAGTAATACCTGAAATCCAATCAAAGCCACGAGAATACCATTTCTAACACACTTTAACACCTCACCGGCAGGTGGCAGACAAATCCCTGAAAAGAAACCACCAGGATCCATCCCTCTTCCACAGCACCCAGTTGGAACTTTTCAAAAAATAAACCATCTCCAGTAGGAGGATTAAAAAGTGTGAACTGAATGCAACAGTTATTAGACACTTCCTGCTTCCAACAGCCTCCTCTTTCAAAAAGACAAATACTGGTTAACCTCTTCTGTACAAAATTACCCACAAATCTTGTTACATGGAATGTGACCAGAAACACAATACACCCAAAAAAATCCCTCAAAAAAATCAAACCAAAACCTGCAAAAGCTTCTAGTCCCTTTTCAAGAAATGTAAAGGGGTCATGGATGGGAAAACAAAGGTTCCCAGAGATGTAGTTACATGAAAGCCCACAGGATACCAATATATCTCATCCATTTAATGGTTTCATCCAAAATTCACGTAAGACTTCTATAAACCTACAAACAGAACTCAGACATCATCTCATGAGTGCCTAAAAAGCCAATTCTGCTTAGACCTTGGACTGAAAAAAGCCATCAAATATGAAGCTGAAAAGTTCAAATGTATCACAAATCATTAGCTAAATACAACCAGAGTCCTGGTTGTCAGTGACACTTTTACATGCAAATTATTTAAAGTAATGCAAATTAGCATTTTATTTAAAGTTTCTTATTCACTCAAGATAAAATGGTGTAACAGCCTAACATTTTCCTTCTGGAGAAGTGACAGTACAAAAAGTCAAAAGACAATGACTATTCTAGTTTAAGAACTAATATTGTCTCCCTCAAAAATTGAAGAGCTGCCACACATGGCACTTAAAGCAGGTAGATTACTTGTGTTTGATGTAAAGGTAGTTTACATGATATATTCCAGGCATCAAAGGTAATTTGGGAGGTTGGGGAGGGGCAGGTAGTTAAGCACACAGTTGAAATTAAATTACTCTACTGGAAGATGTTTTGAAGCATTAAAATTGAGACCAATTATCATTTGACCAGGGATTAGAGTGATACTTAGATGTTTATATATGCACCTCAATTTAAAAACAAAAAACTAGACGTAATTATACTGAAGGTAAACTTGCCATCAATATTACACACAGGGCTGTTTTGGTAAGGCTTTGCACTCTTGAGTCAGTCTTATGTCTTCCCTATTATACATTCTGGATGTGTTTTACCTCTAGTGAGACTCCATTTGTAACAGTAATTAAGATGTGACTTCACCTGAGTTCACAGGCAGCAACACGTACACTAATAGTTTTAAGAAAGTATAAGCACTTAAAGACACACCAGCAGCCTCAGGATGCCGAGAAGTTAACACACTATCAAAAACCTGATAGTCTCAAATAATTTATTCAAAAGAACTTACTATATCCTTAAAGTTAGGCATTCAGCTAAAAACACGAATAACAAATCAATGCCAAATACAAGACTGAACAAGGCCCAGCCTGAGTTGCCACTAGTCAGAAAGTGGTATATTGAAACACAAAATTTGCTACCGTCATTCAAGAGCAAATCATTGGGAAATGAGAAAGAGGGAAAAGAAACACCAACCCCTCCTCGCTGCCCATCCACGTGTATGGAGCGAATGTGATCGGCCAGGTCCGGGCTGGAGCTGAAGCAGGCGTGGCAGTGATCCCAACAACAGTTGTAGGCAATGCTTTTGGCAGAGGAGGCAGGAACTCCTTGGCCGTTCATCATCACCGGGGTGGAACGCCCGCTGGAAATTGTGCTGTCTACGTCCATGATAGTGCTGCTTATGCTGCAGGACAAAACAAAAGCAAAACCGAACCCAAGTTGGTATTTGTTGCACGTTAACAGAACAAATAAAAACTGTAGCTCTTTTGTTTTGGATATATTTAGACGGGTTGAAAAAAAAAAGCTTAAACAAACTTACTATTTATGTACAGTTAGGAAACAGCTACTATCATTTGACAGTGTAACTTCTGTACACTGGGAACACTTCTCCCCTTCACTGACTTGTCAGAAAATTAGCTCTTAGGTGATTAACAAAGTAATTTTTAAGCTACATTTGTTATATTTATTTCCCAGGAGAGAAGAAAAGGAAAAAGACCAGCATCCCCCACCAGCACTAGACGCTTAAAAAGAATACAAAACTCAAGTTTTACAGGTTTAAGGTACTCCCACATTGTCCCGGCACAGTGTCTTTCACATGCATTGCCTAAACTAATGCTTTTTGTTTCGAGGTTTTTTAAACTTTCCAGAGAAGTCAGAGGCAGCAGAGGGAATCCGTGGCCAGCAGGGGTCATGTTCATCAGCCCTCCAGCTCTCTACCTCGGCAGATACAGAGAAAACATCAAGGGATCAGAACAAGGTTGCAGAGGGTGTGCTCTTTCCACATATATAAGAAAAAAAAGCATGGAGACAAAATGTTCTTCCTCATTAAATAGCTACTGATACACCTTTTTTTTTATCTTGGTAACCTGTTCACTGCCTTTTAGGACCTTTATGTTTTGTCTTCCGCAAAGCCACGGCATTACAGAGCAGCTCATCTTTGGCAGGACCTCAAAAGACCAGGTGGTCAAATCTCCTTAAACAGCAGCAAGTAAGATCAGATCGCTTGTGGTCTTGTCCAGCAGAGTTGTTAATGGCTGTTTTCAAAGGCTGGAATTTCTGCTACCTTTCTGAACAATTTTCTCAATGTCTGACTAACCTTGCTGTGCGGGGAGGGAGAAAATTTCCCAGCATCTCATCAGAATTTCCAGTGTTGTAACTTCTGTCTGTGGCCTCTCATCCTTGGCAGCTGCAGGGTTGAGATGACTCTGCCTCCTCCACTGTTAAACCTCCCTACCAGACCACTGAACACAGCAACAACCCTGCCCTCCTTTATCCTAAAACTAAAGAAACCCACTCTCTCAGCCTCGCCATGTATTGCATTTGCTTCAGCATCCAAACCACCTTGGAGACTCTCCAGTATGTGAGTAACTGGGATGAGTCCCAGTAATCCACAGTCTTAATGGTGCCAAGTAGAGTTAAGAACCACTTCTCCTGATCATATACACACACTTTTGCTAATACAATCCATTATGCAGCAGTAATTTTTGCATACATATCTTTAAATATTCTTCTGAGTAAAGTGCAAGGAAAAAAAAAAATCTAATTACGTTACTTTTAAAAAAAAAGAAAATAGTCATTTCCTATTCAGATCTACATAATATTTATGATTTTCTATCATCACATCCCTTTTCTTCCCTAACTCTTGTAGATAATTTCTATGTTAAATCATTCTGCTTTTAAGGCTTAGGTGCCTTTCCATATTTTTGACCATCACTGTTTACATAACCAGTATTGTTTTATTACACATTCTGAGATGGATGAAAGAAAAACTACACCTTTATTAAAAATCAGAAGATATAATTGGCACGTTTGTTCTTTTGCTCTAGGAGTCTCTACTAGTGACTTCTCAAATTATCTGTATCTTTTTTAATCACTACTGTGCTAGCAGCTTTTTTCTGTGATATATTTTGAAATTATCACAGATATTTGCCTTTTTTAGATTTCCCCTTCTCACCCACCATGTGGATTCCACTGCATGTTTCAATTAAAATAAAAAAAAAATCTTGCTTTAGTGAAAGCACCAGATTCTCTTTAGCAATGTTCCCAGTTAAGCTTTAGTTTTAACTACCCTGAGTAATTTGGTTTCATAAGCAAACTCTTATCAGAGGCACCAGCAAGGTACCATTTATGAAAATGCCAAATACCACATCCCAAACACAGACCCCTTAAAAATCTTTTTCCAAGCCATTAGTCTCCACCTATTATTAAAACTGACCAATTATTCTTAGGCCTTTGTTTTCCAAGTTAAAAAGAAAGCTTTAGAGACCTTTTCAACAGGCTTTTTGCTTTAACAAAGGTATATCAAATACATCCTTCCTAAATGCTACATGAACACCACCTGCCTTTTTCTGCCCCCCACCCTCCCAATTTCAAAAAACACCTAACAATTTAGAAGGCACCATGAAGGAAGTGGGTAGAAACTTCTACCCATGAAAGTCATATGGGCTACTTGCTGTACACATGTGCCCATTATTTTTATTTTCTTCCTTTTTCTACACCCTGAACACACACAGCTTTCCATGATTCCTCCCCCCAGGTAGGTGACTCCCAACCCAGTAGTCTTGATTCCTTTTGTGACATACAATCTTCCAATCTGTGATTAGCAAGTAAAGAAATGGCAGCCAACCACAGATACAGTTTTGGGTGTTTTTTATATTACTGCCTTTCCCAAATACCTTACTTTATATTCAATGGAAGTTAAAAAAAATTTAACTGGCCCTGAGCTGAATCTACCAGCCCCAAGAGCATTAACAGACACTACCTACAGCTACTGGCAACAGCATTTTAGGAACCCTGCAGGAAATTGTCAGAAGCTTTAAATGCAAAACATGTTGCAAGCAATCCCAATTTTTCCACCATGCCAGGCTCACAATAACTATGGGACTGACATCTCCTCAGCTGATGCCTAGGCCAAAAATTATCCCCAAAAATAAAATCTGTAAAACTGCACCGCGAAAGCAAAGTTTACCTACAGGATGATAGACAAACTGAATGACTAGTTATTAAATAGTTAATTTTCACACACAGGCACACACCTCTACCCTCAGTTTAAGCTACCCCAACACAGTTCTCTCAAAATCAGCACTTGGAAGTAGGTTTGGGCACACACAAAACAGCACCCAGCCACTTCTGTCACAGACAGTGATGTTACACGGATCAGTGGTCCCCGCAGGAAGCTGCTCAGCCAAGGATGGCAAAGTACTGCAGCAGCACTCCTGCAACAGCTGCCTCACACCAGTTCAGGTGGGTGAGTGACCCTGCCTTTCTCACGGCTCAAGGTACCCAAGAACAGCTTCATAAACACTCTTATCAGTAGGAGTTCAAACTTCCAAGCTGTTTATAGTCAGTACAAGTTTCCACATCCACGGACAGCATCAGTACCTTTCCCACACACCCCCTAGACTTCTGACTGAGAGGATGAACAGTGCTGCTGACCACAAGGACAGACTGCAAGGGGGGTTCAGCACAGCCCTGGTTTTACAGTCTGGTTTTAAGCAGGGAAGCAGTAAGAGAACTTAATGCTGAACAAGTTCCAGGAAAAAATTTGGGGCCGGGGGGGGAGAAGGTGTGTGTGGTTTGTGTGTGGTTTCTCCAGTTCACAGGCATGAAATCTGCTTAATTCCTCTGAGATGAAAAAACCTCAAATTGATAAACCCCTGTGAGAGTTTATTTCACATTGCAAATACAATGCAACATATTTTGATGTAAAAATCACAGCTCTCTAATTTTACAGCCTAAGAAATGCAAATATTAAGATTTTGGGGTTTCTTTTTTATATTCTGTCCTACCTGTAGAAAATTCCTCTTGTTTTGGGATTAAAATATGTAAAAGTCAACTAATAATACTGACCTAGAAAAAGCTATCCTGATAAGTAGGGTTATTAATGACATGAGAAACCAATAACACTTAGAAAGCTGATTTATTTCTAGTAGTTTAAATGTTTGCTGCGTTTGGTTCTAATAGCCTAAGTGTTTGCTGAGGACTAGCAGATTAGAGCTGCATACACAGCATCAAAATTTTGTACCAGAGGAACTGGAATTAAAAAAAGGTTGGTTGTAACACTTAAACCAAGTAGTAGCACATGGAATTTCTTGGAAATTGAGGATGAAGTGCTACACTGGACTATGATTCTATAATCTATTCAAGATCCTGTCTAAAAAGGGGGGGAAATAGAACTCAAATACAGTTGAGCAGAAGCAGTTCAGTATTTTATTTAAGACAAAATGCCCTCCTTTCTTCTAGTTTGAAAACCTCTGTGTAGGGCATCAAAAAGCACAGATGAATATTGCTGTAACAGGATCTACTAGAGAAACAGCTAAATTGCTTATGAAACAAAATAGCCAGGAGTCACACCAAAACAGACCACTGTTTTCAGAGGGTTCTCAAGACAGATCCTGCCAAAATGCAAGAAACTCATTGCCCTGGTACATTCCTTCTCTAGAAACAACCCGTTAAATAAAAATATAAAATACATTTTTTGTTTCCTCCTCTGTGCTTCCAGAGCCAGCATATTTCAGGTGATCAGGCACCTCACAGTGCTGAGAACCTAGAATTAATTTCTGTCTGTCTCACTCGGTGAGTTCTGTCCCCCTGAAGAGGCAAAGGCTGCAAAGACAATCTGTGAAACTCGAGTACCTTGCCCAGCTCAAGCGTGTGCAGTTTTCTCTCGTCTCTCATACAGTGAGAAAATACCAGGAAGCTTTTCAGAGAAAAGTTTGCAGTATATATAGCATCAAAGACACTGCCTTGGGAGGTCTCTTGACCTGCCATTTCGAGATGAAGCAGAAAGATAAGTTTTACAGTCAGAGCTGTGGCTGCTGCTGAGTGTCTGAAGACTGAACTGCAACACTGTGTGTGTCAGAGCTGCTGATTCACCCACTTCTTTGTTTCTCCTCATTTCAGAAAGGGTGTGAGGGTAGGACACATGGGGTGTGCACATACTCCACCATATTAACTAGTCCACTTGAGACTTTCCCTCACTGAAAGCATCGACTCAGCCCAAGACAGAAACAGTGTCTGTATCTTTCTATCTATGAATGGGGCTTTTCAGTCCAATCTTGGGATGATACAACACATGGAAAAATTCCTTTTAAAAGGGAAGGTAGTAATGGAAATTATGTCCTCCTGCTTTCTCATCTGAAATCCACTAAGCCTACAAGTGGGAAAGTAATAATGTGCATC